ACTCCTGCCACTATAAAGGGAAACCTAAGTAGGAATGTTAAAAAAAAACAAAATTAAAAAAAAACTTTGTGGAATACAATAGCTGCTGAGAATAATGAATGCGAGCACTACTTTAATGTTGGAGAACTTCACTGTCTTAGCCAATGTTCTGCTGCGGTGAGAGGACACCATGACCACTGCAACTCTGGGGCTTCCTCACACTCAGGGATTTAGCCCCTTGTCACCAAGGCAGGAAGCACCCAGGCAGACATGCTGCTGGGGAGGTAGCTGAGAGTTCCACATCTGGGTGGACAGGCAGCAGGAAGAGAGGGACACACAGGGCTGATTTGAGCATTTAAAACCCCAAAGCCTGACCCCAGTGACATTCTTCCTCTAGCAAGGCCACATCTACCCTAAGACCACGTGTCCTTGTGCCACTCCCTGGTGGCCTGTGGGGGCCATTCTCATTTGAACCACACTCAGGATGCCACACTAAATAAAAAAAGAAGATGAGGTCACGGCATATTTACATACACATGCTCATGTAGAAACCTCACCCAAAGTAAATGGATAGAATAACATTTCCAAAAGGAAAAGGAGGCTGGCATCAAGAGGCACGGGTGACAGGACCATGTCTGAAGCTTTATCATGTACTTTCCTGGTGGCTATGACCCATACCTGACTAGAGCAAGAATAAAGAATAAATACTGAGGGAGTATCGCTGCCAATTTTCCTTTCCAATTTTAAATTAACGCAGCATTTTTCAATACGTATTGGGAAACTTTTCCCGATTTAAATGAAGGAAATACTTATATCTTAGTCACTGCAGACTAAAAAAGTGATTTGTTTTGCTTTAATACAAAAAGACATACCATTATGTTCTCTGTGCCGTTCTCTGTGCTTCAAGCACAAATAAGACATGATGCACTAGTAGGCCGTGCTGGCTAGTTTCCCATGAACTTGACACAAGCTAGAGCCATTTTGGAAGAGGGGATCTCAGCCTGTGAGCAAGAAAGGCACTTTCTTGATGACTGATGTGGAAGAGCCCAGTTTAGTCTGGGTGGTATCAGCCCTGGTGGGGGGGTCCTGTGTGCTACAGGACAGCAGACAGAGCAAGCCATGGGGAGGAAGGCAGTAAGCAGTATTTCCCTCTGCTTCAGCTACTGCCTGCTGGAGCTCCCGTCCTGAAGTCCTTTCATGACAGGCTGCAACATGGACTGGTAAGCTGAAACAAACTCTGTTCCCTAAGTCACTTTTCATCATGATGTTTTATCTCAGCAATAGAAACCCTAAGACATGGATATTCCAGTTACACTAAAATTGATGCATGCAATCTCCAAATGGACAATAATGTTGGTCATTCGATTTTATGTCTCCATATGAAACTGTTCACCAGTGAAAAGGACATATAATATCGTCTAAGTACTTAGGATCCTACGCTGCAATATCATAGCTTGTTGCATGCTAATTTTATTTCTTGCTACCTTACCAAATAATGAATAAAATGAAACTTTGAAAGCATTACTAGTAAGGATTAATTTTTCTATAATCTGTGCTTTAAAAAAAGATTTGTTAATTATAACTTTGAAATTCAGCTTTAAAAAAGACTAAAAAGTTAATGTTTTTCCTTTACTCTGCTCAGGATCAAAGCCTGAATATCTTACATAAAAACCTCTTAAAATCTAAGTTACGGACTGGAAGATGATTCAGTGGGTAAAGGCAGTTGCCACCATGTCTAACAATATGAGTTTGATCCCCAGAACCCACACAGTGGAAGGAGAGCACCAACTCCTGAATGTTGTCCTCTGACCTCTAGATATGCTCTGTGACATGTGTGCATGCATGTGCACTCGTATGTACACATACACACACACACACACACACATACACACACTCACTCCGAGCAAATAAATTAAGATGCGTTGGAAGTTAAAATGATAAGCCGAGGATATGGATGTGTGGTAGAGCACTTGTCCAACTTAAGCAAGGCCTTGAGTTCAATTCTTAGTACAACAACAAAAAGTTAAACTAGTGGTGTGGCATATACATGATAAGCAAAGACAACCAAAAATGGTATCAAGTATTTGAAAACATATTAAAAGAGATTTACTACCTATGACATGCAAAGAACTTTGTTATAAAGCAGAATCCAAAATCCTACAGAAAACAGGCAATGAACGATAAGAATAAAAACTCACAAAATATCAGAAACAATAGGCCTGTGACAATGTTCCGTTTTATCCATAAGTAGAGAAATGTAAGAAATACCATTTCTCTCATTAAGTTGGCAAAACTCAAAAACCAAAACTAAAAGCTGTACACTACAGAATATTATTTACCCTTTTTTTAAAAAAAGTTTTGATTGTAGCAACAAAATATAACAGCCCTTTCTAAAGAGGAATGTGACAATGCTTAACAAATTACTGATGCATTTACCTTTCAACTCAATAACCAGACTTTTCTTTGGACAGTTCAGAAAAACTCTATGTGTACAGATACAGAGAAAGAATAATGAAAAACATAAATGGGACAAACTGTTAAAAACAGGAAATGTAAGTATAAGATATTGTATCTAAGTATTATTCTTGTACATTTCTTGGCTGATATATTAAACTTTAAAAAGTTTAAAAAATAAGCACATAAAAAGCAATTGAGTCTATACAAGTATCAAGTCTAGAAAAAAATTCAAAACAAAATAGCGTAAATGAAAATATCCACATAAACCTACTGTATTGCTTTCTATCTTTCTTTTACCAGGTACAAATTTTGGGTCTCTTCCATAACTGTAAAGAAATTATGAATTGTATGCTTGAGATATTTATATAAAGTCGCTTGCATCCAATAGTAGCATTTTTTCTATCAGTATGAAGTTTTTAAATGATAGTTTACAACATATAATATCATATACAGTGAATTACAGAACGTTTACCCTACATACTTTTACTAAGTGAGAACATTCCTGAAACTAAGCACATCTTTCATCTTTCAAGAAACTTTGCAGAGGGTTAGAAATGGAGATCAGTGGTCAGGCACTAACAGGAATGACATTCTGGTTCAATCAGAGGATGATTACTGGCGCGGGAGGAAGGCACATGGGACTCCCATGGTAATATATTCTGATTTAAGGCTAGGGTATTTAAACTGTAATCTCTCTCTCTCTCTCTCTCTCTCTCTCTCTCTCTCTCTCTCTCTCTCTCTCTCTCTCTCTCTCTCTCTCTCTCTGTCTGTCTCTCTCTGTCTGCCTCTCTCTTGTTCTCTCTCTAATCCCAAGGTTGCAAATAAAAGTCTACTTACTATCTGTGTGATATTTTTCCTATTTTAAGTAAACTTCTGAAAACCACATATAAAATTGTATATGGCTGTAAATTTGTATTTGTTCAAATGAGTCTCTGATGGAACTCCCCATTCAAAATCTAAAAGCCAAAATATTATTATAGCTTAGATTTATAAAGAGCTTCCTTTGATGTTGGCCTCTTCACTTCTGAAACTGTTTCTGGCTTTTATGCAGCAGCTCTCTGAAGTGGCCTGTGTGTCTTTGGGGTTTTAGTATTTCTACACTATGAAATCTGATCCATTTGATCTAGTAATCAAAATTACTTTTCCTCTGTGGCCATTTTATAATAGTTTCCTTGGATTTTTGTTTTTAAATCTAAAGCTATTTTTTTTAATTTCTAGGCACTTTTCTGCCTACAAGTTTTCTGATTCTTCACACATAAATACACATAGAATCTCTTGGACCGTGGTGAACTTGCAAGCAAGGTGAGTTGATCCATCTTGCGGCCCATGTAAGACTCTGTTCTCATGATCTGGGAGACACTTCTCTTACTCACCAACAGTACACCTTCTTAGGGACATCAGTGGCGGTGTGTCAGAATACTCTAAATTGGTGGCTCTCACTCTGGGACTGACACAGCAGTTTCTTCAATGGGTAGCAAGTTGGAAATGCAGGTTCTCAGGCCCACCTCTTACCTCCTGTACTGGGGGGTGGGGGCCCACTGATCACCAGTCTAACAGCCTCTTCCAGAGCTGTGCACATCCAGAGACAGGAGAGATTTCTGTCTTCCATGTCAGATGCCTGTCCTCACCCTGCAGATCTGATCGGCAGAAGCAATCATCCTTCCGTCTCAAAGGCTATAATATGTATCTCAGCTCTGCAAAACTGCCATGCGCCTGTGCTTTGCCTATTAAAGACTTGAATTCTTTATGTATTGAATCCGTAGAATTTCACTCCAGTACGTGAATGTGGTTTATTCTGTAGCTTAAGAAAAACAAAACTTCAGAGGCAAGTACTTCTGGGGCACAAGACCTACTTCTAATGAAGACTGTGAGGGTCTAGAGTCAGAGAGAAATGCAGGCATATTTGGCTTTTGAAGTGTGTGTGTATCACTTCTTAAAAGTAGTATTTTAGTTTCTAGGTTTTATATGTATCTAGTTGTCTGTAAATATCTGCTGTTTTCAGTTAGCTGTTTTGTTGTTGAACGCTATTGACTTTTTCTGAAGAAAAGGTTTTCACCATTGATCGAGTCCCCCTTCCCAACTTGAACACCTAATTTGCTAATATTTTTGTTTCTATGTTTTGTTTTTTTTTCTTTCTCTTATCTAATTGCATAGGACAGTAACTCCAGAGCAATGGTGGTGGCCAGACACCTCTTTTCGTTGTGTTTTCCTTGAATTGGTTGAAATGCTTCAAGTATTTGATTAATTTGCATTTCAGGAGAGATTCTGTGTAATTCCTGTAGTTTCGCCTTCTGGGAAGCCGTCACTGCCTGTCATTCTTTGTTCAATCACTTTTTAAATCCAGAAAGTCCCATCTTCGTTTGGCTAGGCAGGAATTGCTCTATCCAGTGCTCCAAGGCAGATGGGGAGAGTTGTGACCCAGAGCACACAGTAGTCCCCAGGGAAGGGCTAAATTGTAGCAAAAGCCAAACAACTCCCAAGTTTCCTCCTGATGGAGCCAAGCCCTCTGCCATTCAATAGAGGAAAACTCAGCGAAGTGGGGAGGAGTCCGGCACCTCCCCACCCCCATCCCACTTTGGTGACACCCTCGCAGATGAAATGTGAGCCTGGGTGGCCAAGGAAGCCAGAGAAGCTGCCTCTTGCTCGCCAGAGCCAGCACCTTTGGGCGGGACAAAGAGCCCCAGCCGTAGCTCAGCCAGACCAGGACCACCGGCGCCCAGCTCGCACAGCCAGCAGGCTTCCTCAGTTCTCTGACTGGAGTCATGGCCAGGATTGCTCTGGACCCTGCTCTCGGGAGCACAGCCCTGTCCACCTGACCACACTGTACCCTCCACATCACTGCTGGGGTTCCTAGCTGTCCCTTCACTCCACCCTCTGCCAGGTCTACCCGTCTGTCGGACAGAGCAGCTTGGGGCCACCAGCTTGGATGGCCGCGCTGAGGCTGCCCCTGCGTCCTGGGGTCTTGCTTCCGAAGATGGTCCTGCTCTTTGTCTACGCAGGTCAGTGGAAGTGGGAGGGAGGGTTTGGGGCCAAAGCAGGAATGTGGATGAGTGGTGGTGATTCCCTAGGAGGCAACACCAGACACTCACAGCATGCTCGAACCCTGTCTCTGATGTTACTGTTTTTGCTTTCTTTTCTGTTTGCAAAACAATTCAGAAACTCTCCTTTAAGGGGATTTAAGCTGACTAGTGTAAAGAACACATCCAGGATTTCAGTGAACCCTGGTTGATAGCAGGCAGAGACTTTTTAAAATACTTGAAACTTAAAGATGAAGTTATTCAAAATAAACTCATTAGTGACTTTTGCATTTCACCTCATGCTGCTCAGGCTCTGAAGATTCCAGTTTTTTTCTCTTTAAGAAGTAAGAGACTTCAGACATTTCCCAGTATTCCTTAGAAGATCCTCAAGGACTTCAGGCTAAGCAATCACATGCTCTGAGCTATAGGATTTGGGAGAGCATTTCACCGAGGTCAATAGGAGTTTCTTTCTCTTTTTTAAGGTGATTAGGCACCTGTTTGTGAAAAGACCCTCATTTCCCTCCTTATCATTATTCTTAGTGGCAGTTGCTAATAATTAATGAAGCAGAGTGATTTTCTTGTTCTGTGATTGACAGGGAGCCTTATATGGCCTTTCACTGCTTACTCAAGTATAATTAATTACAAGCTCACTCCCAGCATCCTATTCACAGAGTGTGAGTGTAAAACATTTTGTGTTTTTAACTTTTTATGACAACGATTCACAGGCTTATCTACCAGTCAGCAGAGCTGTTCACTTCATGATACTTACCAAGAATCTGCAACTAAAAAAAATAATAGTAATAAGAAATAAAAATGCTCTTCAACCTTATTAGTTGCTACAAAAGAATTGACTTGCATCTTTGCAGCAAAATAATCAAACTCCCTCCCCCCCACACACACACCCCAGCTCTGAGGAGTCCTTACTCATAAGAAATTTCAATCTATTAAGATGCAAACTACTAGGGCCTGGGGTTGAGCACAGTTGGCCAAGTACTCGCCTAACACAAACAAAAGAAGGGGCTTAGGTTCAATCCCTTGCAATGCATTAACTAGCTGTGGTGGCCCTGTTTGTTATCCCAGCCCTAGGAAGGCAAGAGAATCAGAAGTTCCAAGTGACTGTCAGCCACATGGTTGGTTTGAGACACCCCACACAGGATATATGAGACCCTGTTTCAGAATGAAAGCAGATTTTGAAAAGCAAATTGCTACCTAAAAGTTATCATATTACAGATATATAGGGGAGATGCTGACTTTCTAATACAGAAAATTCTGCAAGTAGGAAGAGTGCATCTACTTGAGGAATTAGATTGTTATAGTGTTCCCATCCGGAGGCACTAAGTACATCAGCATCTCTCTTCTAGCTTATTGAAAGCGACCCTTTTCAGTTTATCAAAGTAACACATACACACACACACACACACACACACACACACACACACACACCAACAAAAGCAAATGAAGCTTCAATGACTGAGTCGTTGCCCTGACTCAGTAACTTCAGGGAGCCACCATTTCCTTGTTCTGAGCAGCTTCCCTGTGGAAGGCTGAAAGGCCTCAACTTTACACACCCGCTCTTGCCTTTTTCCAATTTCCAGGACCACAGGCACAGCAGCTCCAGTGTTCAGGGAACCAACATCACCGGACAGCAGTTAGTTGGGTGGTTTCTATAAGTGGTTTTACTTTAACGTTTTTGTCTCCCAACCTCCTATCCAATAAACTGCAGAGTAGTTGCAAGGCGACACTAGGCCGTCTTGCTATCTCATGCAAGAAATGCTGAATTGATGAGTTCTTTTGTGGAAATCCCTGAATCTCGTACTTCAGAGGCTGTTTGAAGGTTGCCACATTCATTTGGTACTAGAGCAGAGACCACGCTCTGAGTTTTCGGAGGGTGATAAGGTGAGCTCATATATCACTTTTATGTGGGAAAGCAAGTGTCACAGAACAGGTACAGTCATACCAGAGCTGTCAAAAGTGGCCAGATTGCCATTTCAAGAGGGCAAGCCCCTTCATGTCACGCTTATGCCTCTAGTAAAATAGCCTCCCAGGCAGGCAAGGCTAAGGGCTCAGTCAATGTGTACTTAGGATATTTGAGTGAGGAACACATGGGGGAACAAGATGGTTAGAGACTAGAAAAGTCCTGGACCAAGAAAACATTAGCACAGGCTGCATGGTAAAGTAGGTAATCCCAACAGTGGATACTTCTGTTCAGTTGGAATTAGGAGATGCAACTGGACACATGCATTGTGGTTTGATGACTGAACATTTTAATAAATGAATTTCTAGTTTCACAACACACACACACACACACACACATACACACACCATAAGTGTGTGTGTAACTATGGCCTAGTTATATTGCACAATGAAAATGTAATACATTCATGGTCTATTGGTTGAAGAAGTGAGAGAAAATTCTTCTATGCCTAATGCATATGTTTATTTTTTCATGGAAGAACGTTAGGAAAGAGATCCTGATGAAGTGTTTATATTATTGTCCGACTCCCACTGCAGGCTACAAAGACAGGATTCTATCAAGGTTTTACCTTCCGGGCCTCAGCCTGAGTCTTCTGCCCCTCCTTTTCCTTCCTCTCTTAGCCTCAGCTATAGCTGGAAGAAACCATTTCTAAGCAAGGACTTCAAGCCATATAGTGCTGTTCTGTACAACACATTCCAGAAGGTGGGGTTGGCAAGTATGCTGGGGGAACCTTCCAGATTACACCTTTTATTTAAAAATGCTAGTGATTTTATTTTATTTTCAGAGAGCAACTGGACTGCTCATTATTTCATAAAGGAGAAACAGCCAGCCCCCTGCAGTCCTAACCATGATCTTCCTCATATTATTCTCAGAATAGGAGAAAAAGTAACCATGATTATACAATAAGCTTTGAGGTCTGACTGAAGCCTCAGCTAGGCAGGGCTATGATGGTGAGTACATTTGTTAAGCTACTAAATTTACCCTTTTCCATAGTTTAATTCTGGGAAGTAGACAACAGTGCTAGAAAACACCATAAAAATACTGAACAGTGTGTGACATGACATGGATGTTCCTGCAGGAATTATCCAGTTTCTTGGCTAGAAAATCTGGGGCTTGGTTTCCTGTAAAGTTCGTTCACAGTATTTTGATAACACCATGTCCTTATGGCAGCAGCCACTATTGCAATCGGGGCAGCTGAATCACTGAATTCCTGGGAAGCTTAATTGTAAGTCACTCTTCAAAGCACCACCAGTACTGGGGTCTTGACTTCATGATATGAGTATTTTTAAAAACAAAAGCAGTGGCACATTTCTGCTAAACTGTGGAGGGAACTGAGCTGGCTAAATGCTTGAATCAGCTCAAAATAAAAAAATCGAGCTGGAGAAATTCAGTAAAAACACCGTCGAATAGGAAGCCTAAAAAGCTATGATGTCCTAGACGAAAGAGGAGGCATATACCTCTACCCCAGTATTTAGAAGGTAAAGTCAAGAGATCTAGAGTTAAATGTCATCTTCCGTATCCTTGTAACCAGTCCAGCCTGGACTACACTAAGGTACATCTTAAAAACAAGCAAACATTTGTTTTAATGATGCATTTTCTTGAAAACACTATTGACAATGCAGTAGCTACTCTCTTGGAGCTATATGATTTATTGTTTCTCTTGTGGATTTAAGTAGAATAGCAAAAATAATTTCCCTCTCCAGTCAAGTGGAAACCTTTAAAGTTCATTTTGTTGATCCATGCTATAGAAATAAAATGAATAGGAAGAAAATATGACCTTTCCCACTTGCTTCACAAAAACCACATTAATTAACAAAGCCAAACAGGAGGTACCACATTTGGATGACATCTTAGGAAGACGTGACAGAAAAGTGCCTGTTTTAGAGAAAGCAATAAAAGAACATGTGACCATTAATATAATACCTTGTACTTTCAATATTTTAACTTAGATTGGGAACTAAAAGCTTCATATAATTTATACCATACTATTGACATTACTTTTCAGGAGCCGAGTTAAAAATGGCATATTTTGAAATTATTGAACATAGAATGTAAATTGTAGGACTATAGTGCTTTTTAAATATGTACCTGAAACACATCCACCATAATTTATACTGCTTGCTAAAGCTCAATGTTAACGCTCTACTGAAAAATAAATCCTTTAGGTGGAAGAAAAGGCTGTTTAAGGTCAGGATGATTCTTACTAAATGTTTTTGCAAATTTTTTTTGTTGAAAAGCACATATGAAAGAGTAATGTCATATTAGGCCCAACATATCCTTTTAATCAGAAATTTTTGACATCACATTGTGCTGTGTTATAATTTATTGATTCTTCATTGTGACATTAAATAACTAACTTATAACTGCTAACTTATAACTGCTAAAGTTATTTATATGAACATCTTCTGTACCTAGCTCATTATCTTCCAAGCCTAATGGACAGTATGCAGACTAAATTATGTAACTGTATGTATAGGACCTATAATTGTAGAGGAAAAATAATAACATAAAAGCAAAAGCATTATTAAATTACCATGGCAAATGTATACATGAGTTTCCAATGATCACCATTGGTATTACCTATGTCAATAATGTTTCCCATTAATTGAAGTTAACAGAGAATCAACTCTCAAGTCAGAAAGCTTTGTTGTTTGGGAACCATGGTAAGAACTCCACTAGCAGCTTTACTGACTGATGGATTGATACATTGCTTTCATCATATCTTATTCACCCAAAGCCAACCACAGTCACAGTATTCAGAGCAGGGACTTGGGAATAAGGGCTTTATTTCTTCCTACTAGCTTAGAGTCTACTGGGGAGAAAGGTCAGTTTGGACCCTTAGAAATGATTTGGAATTTAGAGTGTGAAAATGAACATTTCTATGTGCTAAAAACTGGTTGACTGGTTCAGACAAGAACAGAGTAATTTTTCCTTAAGCTGTGACTTTATGACTTCAACTGCTCTCATTTTTCCTTCGTAGAGGATTGCCTTGCTCAGTGTGGCAAAGACTGCAGATCTTACTGCTGCGATGGAAGTACACCCTACTGTTGTTCCTACTATGCCTACATTGGGAATGTTCTCTCGTGAGTAGCACCCAAACTTGATGGTGTTGTTCTCCTTTTGTCCAGTTACTCTTCCAAGTAACACGAAGTTACAAGTGAGGGAAGAGAGGCAAGGAAGGTTGGTGCTGAAGATGGTGGCTTGTGCCTGTAATTCCAGCACTGGGGAAGTTGACCTAGAGGGGTTGCCACAGGTTTGAAGTCAGCCAGTTCCGGTCTTGTCTCCACTACTGTGTGAGACTTCACACACACACACACACACACACACACACACACACACGCACGCACGCACGCACGCACATACACACATAACACACACTCATGATTGTTTATTGATCTAAAATCTTTCTTAGAGATTTAAACATGCATTAATACCTTGGGTATCCTATTAGTTGACAGATGTCACCTAAAAATTGCCTCTATTAGAAGGGAGTTTTAAAAGGATCTTTTCATCGTTTCTTGTGTGTATTGCAGTAACACGTTAAGTAGTCATATTATTGACAACTCTTTCATGATATGCTTTTATCTCCTGTGTTGAAGACTTTGTAAGCTACCATTTGTTGTTTAATTATGGTCAGCTTATTTTACCATCCGTGTCCTAAACTGTCTACTATACCCACCAGTTAAGGAGTAGGAGATGTTGTGAATAATAGGAAATCTCGGTTACTTACATAATGTATATAAGACAACTCAGAAAATTAATTTAGAACCTTAAAGCAGTTCCCCGCCTTGCATTCAAACATATTTTAGTGCTGCTTCTGAGCAGAGGACAATGGAGGTGTAGTGTGCCTTTGGGTTGAAAGGCGCATGGCTGGTGTTCTGCTTAACATCTGCCTTCTGAAGGCTCAAGAGGAAACAGGATTAGTTAGGCTAGGTCCCAGAGGTCCAGCTGCTCCTGGAGCAAGTCCATTGAGATGCTGGGCAAGAAAATCCTCCGATTCTCAAAAGGGAAGCCTGTCACAGAAACTTTCTAGAACCCATGTTAGACCTGCTGGTAGAGACCTATTTGACTACAGACTTCACTCCCCCAAAATCTGGCTTAGGATATTAGACTATTAGCTATGAAAGAAATGCCAGGATGAAATTTTCAAAACTTGAAAGATTTGTTAATTTTAAGTGGAAATCAAATATTCAGTGAAATGTAAATTGAGCAAAATTTCTGAATTTCTTTTCTTATAGAAGATTCATTGGGAAAGCAATTAGTTGCCCATTAGCATAATTATTTTACAGAAATATACTCAAGTATATTTCTATAATGATTTTATGATTATAGAATGCTGCATAGAACATAAGATACTATAAAGCTTCTGATTAACAAATTGTATATTTTGTAATGATTTCTGAATGCTAGGTAGATGTGGGTAGGAGTGATGGGTACGAATGAGTAAGGTTGGCATTCTTTGGTCCTCTTGTCCTTTATCTGTCACTCACTCCCTCCAGTCCAGCAAGCACGGTGCCCAGTGTCCTAACTCCTCACCCCCTCTCAGAGGGAAATAAATATTGTGGACTTAACTATTAACCAAAGTATCTTAAAAATTTTAACTTGAAGGTATACTTTCTGTGGCTTAGATTCAAAAAGTGAGATTTGCACCTTTCTGATCAACACATTTATACAGGTTACTAGAACTGAGAACTTGTTATGCGTACGAGGAAAAGGAATTGTGTTTTAGAAGGGAAAAGTAAACACAGATGGCATTGTATTTCAGGCAGTTAAAACTGAACTTTCTGTCAAAAATAGAAACTTCTGAGTAAATCTCTTGCTAAACAATTCTTAGGGGGGAAAAAAACTTTAAAGTGTTTTTCCTGCTGGATGGAGGAGGATATGTTTTCAGGATTTCCAGTGATTGTTTTACATTTGAAAAGAGTTCTCAACTCCACCCAAGCATTTTTTTTTCTGTTATGTTGTAGTGGGGAAGCGGGGGTTGGGGGGGATCAGTACTAAGAATACTCACAAGAGCTTTCCCAATATTTCTGGTTTAGAATTCAAAAACTATGGCTCCTCTTTCTCAAGCATCTGGGTATATTCTGTTGAACAATTGAACCATCTTAACCAGAAGTTAAAATTTTATACTATCAGAAAAGCAGGAAAAAAAAAGAAAGAAAACAATTGAGAGAATTGTCTTGAATAATTTTATAAATTGGTTTTGCCTCATGGTTTGTTTTCAAAATAAAGATGTTGACTTAGTTTAAAATGAACTTTAAAGGAAGTGAGGGAGAGTTCAGAAGAATTCTGAGCTCAGGGAATTCTGTAATGTCTGTAAGAGGGAGAGTGTGAGTGTGTTTACAGTGAGATGTTTAGAGACAGCTTCATAAATGGCATCTGACAAGAGCTTTCAAGGAAGAGAACATGTTTATACAAAGAACAGTGAAGGAAGGGAAATGCCGTCCAGACAGAGAGTCTCCAGTACACACAGCCAAAGATAGAAGCAAGGAAATGATCTCTTGGCCAAACCCATCTTGTTCGAAGTGGCTAGAGGGGAAAGTCAAGCTTGGATTCAAAGATAGAAAAACGTGGGTGAGATGAAAGGTAATTATTATTAATAGACTCTTATTGGCTATGCCGCCTCAAATTAAAATGAAATAATTCAGTATTCCATGTAAAAGTAGACAACTGACTTAGTTACCACTAAGTAGGCAGGGAGCAAGATGATCTCCATTATCCCTAAACAGAGATAGTTCAAGAGTATTTATTCGGTAGATGAAAGATCACAGTTTACACTCTGGGACTGGGCATAATGTGGGACACATTGGATAGACTGCATGAACTGATAGCTTTTCCACATTTAAGAGATTTTGGATAATATGAGCAACCACTTGAAGTTTAGAAGCCTCTATGTTTAAAAAAATTGAGAATCTGGGTTAATTTGAAAAATAAGGAACATCCCATCAGATTTATTCACATATGTCATTCAGCAACTCTCCTACAGAGAAGGTGGGACAGACACCCCAGTGGATAGGAAAAGAGACGGCTACACCTAACTGCGGATGAAACCTGATGTTTCCTAGAAGTTAGTCCAGTGTAAAGCAGTGGCTTGTACAGCACTCTTTAGAACGGCTAGAATCCTAGAGGATACAGCCACTATTTATTGCTATCCACTGTAGCAAACTAAACACTAAAATTTTCTTACTGAAAATAGACCCTCTGCAAAGTCAGAAAATAATTATATAATCTTAAATGTGAGCCAGACTGGCTGGGAGATAGTGTGAGCCAGACCATCACAGATGTAGGACTTAAATCTCTAACTCTAATATAGTATTTTTGCTTTTCCAGTCCACCATGTAAAATGTAGACCAATCCAAACACATCATCTAATAGCAGAAAAATAAAGTCCCACAGGAAGATAATAATGGAGATCCTGGTGGGATTCAATTTCTTTTCTTCCCAATGAAATGTAAAAAGATGTATTACCCACAGTTTTACAAAGACAGCTAATAAATACCACTACTGTGATTTTAGAGCCATGCTATGCATGAAAGCAAAAGGAAGCTAAAGATAAAGGTTTTACATTTTCAAATGGCATTTGTGGTCCTGCGATCATTAAGTAGCCGAGGACGCTAATTAAACTCAGGACTTTTGCATTGGTTAAGAACAGCACTTACATGGAAATAAAATTATTTTAGTTTCAGGAATGAGAAAAATAACTCTGAAAAGTAAGCACTGATCAAATCCAAGTTTCTGAGTGTTCAACTTTGTTACTGTGATAAACCTTCACTACCGGAAGTTCCTCCAGGGAGCAAGGGTTGGTTTGGCTTATCCAGTCCATCCCAGAGGGAAGTGAAGACAGGAACCTGGAGGCGGGTACTGAAACTGGGATCAAAAAGGAACGGCTTGGCTTGGCATGGCTTGCTCAGCCTGCTTTCTTACATAAGGCAGGACCACCATTCCCAGTGGGCGTGGCCTTCCACCATTTCCCAGTGGGTGTGGCCTTTCCACATCAACCATTAATCTACAAAATGCTCTAGTGAGGTGCCCACGGGCCAGTCTGTTGGAGGCAATACTTCCATAAAGTTCCCTCTTTTTAAGTGACCCTACCTTCTGTTGTGTTGATCAAAAAAACCGAACAAATAAAGTGAAAGTCTCATTTTTTGTTTTAATGATAACACCATGATGAATAAGAACAAAAAAGATAATGTTAAAATAAATGTGAATTTGATTGAAAATATAACAATAATTTCTGTTTTATCAAAGAAGAGAGTAGGTGTCTCCCAGAAGACATGATTATGAAATAGAGATTGTTTTATTAACGGGAAACACGAATGTGTTCATAAATGAAACTTTTCAGCCAGATTTTTATCTATTCTAGTTGCCTTTGTAAATGAAGTCTACTTATCATAAATATAATTTGCTTTAAGAAAAAAAAGTGAAGTTTCTAGGGCACAGTCTCAACAAATTATTTGTGCAAATGCACTCCATCTATTCAGTGGCCCATGTCATGCTCCGGGATGAAGCCATCAATCAATCAGTGATCTACCCATGTGTGTTACTTAGGAGATAGTGGGCAGCAAGAGCTCTAAGCTGACTGCCTAGCCTGCTGTGGATGTGAGAGCTGAAAGCCTGACAGAAACAAAGAGAAGAAGGCTTGACTCTGACCTGAGGGTTCCCTGAAGGCCTCCTGAAGAGAGGTTACTCTAAAAATGAACCCAAGAGCAGGGGATATTACCCAGTTGCTAGAGAGCTTGACTAACACGCACAAGGCCCCTCACTTGGATCTCCAGCACTGTCTAAACCAAGTATGGTGAAGCATGTCTACTGTGCCAGCATCTGGAAGGTGGAGGCAGAGGAGTGAGGAGTTCAAAGGCATCTTAAGCTATGAGGAGTTCAGAGCCAACCTAGGTTCAGGAGACTCTCTCCTAAATAAATAAATCTCAAAAATAAAAGGAACTGATAAAAATTTATTCCTCGTTGTGAAAACACTTAGAAAACTAAGGACAGAGGGGGGGAATTCTCTTAACAAATTATCTTCATAAAGCCAGATTATTTTGCATTAATTCTCATACTTAGTGGTATGAAATTAGATGCCCTT